TATATTTTTTAATGAAGGGAGTATATAATTAAACATTAATTTTGGCCAAAAAAAATTATTTAATATTTAAATAATACCTTGTCCCTTTTGGCCAAAGGTCCTAGTTCCACCACAGCAGTAGTTGCTATATACCTGAATTTATCATTTGATCTTTATAATTGTTATTTTAAATTAGTATTATTTTTAAAAAATGAGTTTCTTTCCAAATGTCGAGGAAGTTGCGTTTGCAACAGCAAGATTATATAAAATGTTCATGTTTATTAACATGTGTTAGTTGTAATGGATGAGATAATGATTGCTCATACATGAGATCTCATGTTTGAGCCTTCGTGATTGCATTCATAAAATTCAGATCTTCAAAGTTAAAATTAAAAATCATTAAGTTTTTAAAGACTAAATATATCATTACAGAATACTATGATAAATTTAAAGAAAGTTTTATTTTTAATATTCTTAAAAATAAACATAACAAAACGTAATATGAATGATAATAATATTGTAAATCTTTAAAATAATTTTTTTGACAACAAAATCTTTAAGAATAATTAATTATGATTCATAATACATGTCAACGAAAAATGAAGTTGAACAGAGTGCGGGTTCCCCTTGCGTTTGGAGCGTCCTATTCTTCAATTTGGTGTTTGCTTATGTAACGTCAATTAATTCATTCAAATTAAATGGGAAGCTCAAAAGACGTGAACCATGTGAAAAGATAGAGGAGCTTCTAGAAGACAACTAGACCCCAGGTAACAAGAAGACACTCTTATGGCGGCCATAAATCTCCAATTTATTTTATTTTAAGTTCTGTAAGTGTATTACGATACCAACCTTGATTAAAACAAAAAAAATAAAAAAGTCCATAAATTAGAGCACACCCTGTAAATGGTATGTAGTTTACAGAGTTACAACTTCGCTTGTAACGAAACAACTAACAACTAGAACTTCATTATTAGCAACTAGTATCAATTATCCGATTCCATTTATAAGATAATGAGAGTATTTATTTTAATTTTATTTATAAGACACTTTAATAATTATTACATTCATATTTAATTATAGAGGTAAAGTTGAGAATTTGTTAAACTTTTAGACATAATTAATAATATTTAATGTTTTTTTATTTCTGTAAAACATACTGAAAGTCAGTCAAAAATTTTAATTAAGGGGCTAAGATGACAAAGTATGTATATATGATAATTAAAGAAAAGTTATATATATAGATATATATATGTATATATATATATGGATATATACATCACTAACATAATATAAATATTTTAATATATATATTTATATTTAATTTTAAAAATATATAATAAAAATAAATATGTACTTTTATTTTAAAATTTTTTCTCATTGATTTTTCATAGCATAAAAATTAACAATTATCATGTGTATGATAAATTTTTCAGCAATTTTCTTTTTAATATAAACTATCAATGGAAAAATTTCATCTTCTTTTTGAACATTAAATCATTTAAATGCATTCTTAAAATCTAAAGTTGTGTTCAATTTAAGAAACTCTACTAATTATTCACTAAATTTACTTTTTAATTCTTTCAATTGATATTTGATGACAATAGTAAATATATCACAATAATAATACTTAATTATCACAAAATCCTTATGTCAATGAAATTGAATTATATCACATTAAAATAAAAATCATTCATGTTATAAATTTCAATAAGTGGGTAATTACAAAGAAAGAAAATTTGCCTACAAGATGTCATCTTTACCATAATATCTTACTTTTGAATATAATAATTTTATGATAAATATCAAACATATAGAATTCAATATATTTTAAGATTTTTATTGTGATATTTGATAAAGTTTATTAGTAATAATTTTTATAATTTTTTTTATCAATAGTAAAATATATCTTATGACAATTATACATGTATAAAAGATCACACGCAAAATTAAATGAGAACTCCCTCTAATACCTCTAAGCTTTTGTAATGTACTAATTTAGGAGATTAAAAATATATAAGTCAGGGGGCAATACATAGCTCCTCCAGTTGATCCCTCTATCTCCAATTCATCTGAAATTGACTTATAAATAAGATTATAGAACTAAAAGGATTAGTCAGTTTTAGGATTTATTTAAGTAAATAGACTAACCTGAAACTAAATGCCAAGCACATTATCAAGAACAACAATTTCGTTAGTAATAAATAAAAACTACTAGTTTAAAATAGAAATAACAATTTCGCTTATAATAAATAGCAACTGAAAACTCAAGATAGGCAATTACTAAAATTGAGTGAGCGCGCCTGGATTGATTTGATCTGAATACTGTGTAAATTCCTTATGAATTAATTGTCATTTAGAGAAGGTGCTTATGATGAGCCCTTCTTTTTTATTTTTCAAATAAAGGATAGTATGATAATTGAGCTATAAAACTTAATGCTAGAAAAGTCACTTGAAATTAGTTGAAACTGCGATATAGTTTGCTCGTTTCATGAGATTTTATTGTGAAAAAAACCATTTCAGTAAGACTCAAATGTCATTCTCCCTGAATTTAATTATTCAAAAGATGTAATAATTCTCACAATATTATTTTTGAATGACTGCTAATCTGTTTTTTCCTTCGACCTAATGATGTTGTTAATCATTTTATTCCTTACACGACTTAATTGATTATATTATAATTTTGTTCAAAAGCATTTGGTGGGGATATGGCCTATTGAATTTTACAGCGTAGTTCACGAAATAGAAACTACGCGCAAATCAAAGGTGATGGGTTGAGTCAAAATGATTTGTATAAAAATATTAATTAACATGCGACTCAATAATATTGTGAGAATTAATGTGATGTATCCTTTTCTTTCTTCTCCTTTTCTTGCTAAAAATTGTTGAGTTGAGTCTATATACTATAAAGGCCTTGTGGTTTAATTTAAATCAAAATATTAATTAATAGATGATTCAAAATGACGTACTTATGATGTGGCACCTGGCGGATGTATTCTCAAATCAATTTGGTTTTGGAATTAGTCTAATTCATTTATTTAAGATATACGTGGCGTGGAACAGGATATTTTATAAATAATTCTAGCAAAATTTATAAACCATATTTAGGTATTTTTATATTTAAATGTAATTTAAAATTAGGATACAAAGATAATACTATCAATGTATGATCAATTTAACTATTGAATATATAAAATTATAGTTGTAAAAAGTTAAAATAATAGTTGTAAATTATTAATGAAATTATTGTAAACAATCAGTGTTAAATTTTATTAGTAATGAATAATCAATTTAATTATTAAATATATAAAATTATAGTTGTAAAATATTGAAGTGATAGTTGTAAAGTAATTATAAATAATTATGTTAAATTTTGTTAGTAATGCATGATCGAGTTAACTATTAAATATATAAAGTTATAATTATAAAATATCAAAGTAATAATTATAAATGTTGACAATGTCGTTGTATACAGTTAATATTAAACTTGTTATGCATAACCAGTTTAACTTTTAAATATGTAAAGTTGCATTTGTAAAAAAAATTAAAATAATAATTATAAATTACTGATGAAATAATTTAAATTATTTGATTGATCTAATATATTTTTAAGAGAAAAATTATTATCTTTACACTTCAATTTTAAATTATAATTAAGTTGACTGTAATTTTTGAATTTCACACAATATATTTATAAATTAGACTATTTCACAATATATATACATAATTTTTCCTTTATTTAATGTTTGGGTTTGTATGTATTTAATGTTTGATTGCAGAAGGGTGATGGGCTCTTGTGTTGTGTTCGGTGTATTTGAAGTTTTTCTAAAACATATTTTGTTTGGATGCTTATAATTTCATATACTTGGTAAGATAAATGGATTAAAGAAGCATGACGATATCTTTATATTTTAACTTAAAATTTTAAAACTCAATTTTATGAGTCATTTTTTTTTATTTTATTTTTTTGTAAGATGAGTTTTTTGTTCTTCATTTTATATTAGTTATTAAATTTATTTTTATTTAATATAAGACTTCCGGCATCTTTAAGTCTAGTTACACTTTGATTGTGTAACCACACACACTATGCAGCATGCTTTCTTGCTTAAGAATTAGCATGCTTTGTAAGTTAGCACAAACTTAACTCATATTACTAACTCTACAATCCCATCATTGCAAAAACACGTCTTCCATAATCGAGAGAAAAAAATTAAAGAAAAGAAGACGAAAAGAAAATACTCATAAGGCAAACCCAGGTTTCTTTCACTACCGAAGGATTTGGTACTGATAGACCCCACCTCTAGCATGTGACGCCACATGAAAATAATAACATTTTAAATTTGCATCATGCCAGTTGCCGGTTTTTTTTTTTTTTTTTCCGCACAACTTTCAAAAGGTTCTTGTGTTTGCAAAATAAATGCATTAATTAATATATGTTTTTCAACAATGTTACTCAAAAAAAAAAATGGTGCTTTAGTTTAATCAAGGGAGAAAGTATGTGAGAAAGGAAAAAAGTATTTAATAAAAGATATTTTTGAAAAGATAAGGTAATCTTAAATATGTTAATTGTTGTATCTTAAGGATATTGATGTTATCGCCTTCATTAGTTTAATTAATCACTAATTCACATTTGGACAAAACTTGATCGATGTCCTCTACCAAGACTTCAGTTTTCAAGCTTTTTTATTTACCCATCAACTTATATCAATCAAACAAATACTAATGAATTTCAGGGATCAATGTCGCAACTCATTTCATTTTGTTATCATTTAAATAATAAAGAGAAACTTGAGCATTGACCGCACCGCCGCGTGCATCAACAGGCCAAATCCTGACCCGTCCAGCTCGCACTCTTTTATTGAACGGATGTGACATTCTAATTCTAACAGTGATAAGTTGGACTATCCATGTGCTATGATAACACAATTTTCAAATTACGTGTAGCGCAACCCACTAAACATGTTCAGATATCTCAGAAAGATGACGCCTGGTCAAAATGCGTATAAAATGAAACTTCCCCAACGTCTATGTAATCAGATTATCATCATTTTTTGATATCTTGATTCAATATCGGCTAGTGGGGTACTGACAATCACATTCGAGCATCGTCATGCTGTCGTCATCATCATCAATATTATTGATGGAATACAATGTAATTGAGCAGCTACAGCTTTTTGCATCTAAATTCTAATATAGTTTCAGGCTGAAACTTCAGGACTTCGACCTCCCGAAAAGCTCCGTCAATCATATAACATAAAAATAAAGCAAAAAGAAAAAGGAGATTGAACTCCGGCTGGGAGTAAATGTGAAGGGATATATCACATATCGCTAACTTGTGATTTTCTCGTCTAGTGTGTAAATGGAGGTTGATAGGCAGCTGGGATAGCATTTCCACAATCATAGATGCCGTAGTTAGTCTGTCCTCCTCCATAAGAACCAGGGAGCGGGTAGTGCTGTTGAGTTATTCCAACAGGGCTTTGACTATGGGGAGCTCCATAGGCAGTTGCGTAAGGATTACCTGTACGATCATCATAGACAGCTTGGCTGGGGTAATTGAATGATCCAGAAAATCTTGAAACAGGACTAGGCTGCGGAGGAGGAGCTGGGTTCCTCCGATCCAAGGTTGGGTATGAATTTAATTTCGCTACTTTAGCTGGACGGAAAGAGTTTGACCCTACACCTCGAGCGCTGCTCGATCCATAGGCTCGCTTATGAGATTTACTCCCCACTGCTGAACTCTTCTTCCTTTCAGCCTTGGATTTCTCCAGATGAGCAACTCGTTTTCTCAGACTATCAATGTTGAATTCTGATTCCAGCTTGTGGTCTTCTATACATTTGATAGCGGCCTTGATGGAATTTAACTCCTGAGTGCTTGACACATCCTGGAAAAATGGGTTCACTTTAAGAAAGAGGCCTATCAAAAGCATAAATTCATGAGAATATTAACATTAGTCTGTGAAGCTAAATTAAAAAGACAGTAATCCAGACCATTGCAGCCTGACTGTTGTTTCCACTCTTTGATGAGGAGGTAGAATTCTTTTTGGAATTCTGCAGATAGGACTTGAGCAGGTTAACGGGAGGAAACCTTTCAGTCAAACCAGATTCTGAAGCAAAATAGACAGCTTCAATCTCTTTACCATTTCTAATGAGTTCACTTATTATATCTGCATAGAACAATAGCATTTATTAGGCCAAAATCTTCACACACAAAATGTCAACAAGGACAATGACAAGTCTTATCTTACAAGGTGAGATCAACTATATGAATTGCACAATACCATTTTGCTTTATCAACAACTAAATCTCTGGAAAACTAGAATTTTTTTTTTCCCGTTGTATACAGATATTCCCCTATTAGTACAGTCGAGTGCTAAATGTTGACAACACTTCGAGCAAGGATTTGAACCAAGGTTCACCATGTTATGAGGTGAGACCCAACTCCCGTTACTAGAGCAAAATTATGTATCCTTCTCAAATGATCACAAAATTCTGCTATGTTCTCACTCTTATTGTGCACATGGCCCTATTTGTTTTTTAGTTTTAACCAGACACATCATATTTCTTTTTGCTTCTTGACATAATGATCCTTATTTCTTATCAAGAGAGAAGAAAGTCGGTTTAACGTTATAGATCTTATTAGTAACTGTGGTCCATAATTTGATAACATACAATCCTCACAAATATTAGCAGACCTGGTAAGGTTCCCTATGAAATTTTCATACTTTAACTTGGTAATACTACCTTGAATATATTATTAAAAAAGTCACGACTCCATCTAATAAGGTAGATGTATCTTTCAACATTCTAAATTTAGTCTAAAATGCAAATTACGTCTTTTTCCTCCAAGGAGCAGCAAAGTGTCCTTGACAACATATGTAGACACCAGTACGTAGAATGCATTTTGTAAATTGATTTTATAGATAATTAATATAAAAAACCTGAGTATAAGATTATGCTTCAGTTTATAGCATTTTGATCTTATTATATAGCCTCAGCTTTCGCTGATCTTGTAAGATGGTATCATTCTAGTAAATCAAATTCAATCAAAAACTTGTTTCATCGAGTATCTGGGAATAAATCTCCAAAAACTAGAAGGCAAGGCTAAGTAGGAATGCAGTGTGGTATATATTAGTGAGCGAGATTAGCAAAAGGAATAGATTAGCTGAAGGGTTCACCCAACTAAGTTTGCACCACTGTACTAAGCATCTTATGCCACTCATTCAAAATGACGGTAAGTTTTTTACCATGAAAATGACAGCAAGATTTAATCATTGGAAAGAGCATATTAATAGATATGCAGTAGTTCAAACTTCAACAATAAGGACCCAGATACTGGAATTTTTACTTATATCAAAGGATATTATTAAAGCCAGAAAGTAAATTCTTGACACGTCCTACTGACTATATTGTATAAAAAATTAAAAATGTTATAATGTTGACAAATTGTCCAATGAAACACGTACTTTGAGAAAATTAGAGGCGGATTTTTTTAATGATAAGAGAAGACACATCAGAGATAGGTACCAGGATGTTGAGTTGAGATGGGCAATAAGAGAAAGGCAGCAACCAGGATGGCTGTCATAAATCTGGCAACGAACTTTTAACAGCCAAAGTTAACAGCAAAAGAATTAGACATACAATAATGCAGATAAAAGGACTAATGCTTTCAAGACCATCCAATCTTCTAAACCATTTCCAAATAAAAGAGACGAGCAAAACATCCTCAAGGAGTTCCACTATATTTGTGTTGAGCCTCCCAACAAACGGGGCCGTGTGTATAAGACGAAGCCTAAAAGTAATATCCATGAACAGGGTGGGCAGGGGCAGAATGGGAAGAACTCAGAAAATAACGATATCTCACATTGTCAAGTTAGTGGGAGGGTGTGAAAGGGGCAAGGGGAGGGAGGGAGGGAGGGAGAGAGCTAGGCAGTAGAATCAACTTAGTGGAGAGGGCCTGGTCTCTTGTAAACCAGGATGTTTGAGGGTTTCTTCATGTCCATTGTTCTTGTTTGAAGTTAGGAGGTAGCAGCTTGTGTGGAGCTGATTAGTGATTGTATTCTCTACAATTTTCTAACTTAATAGAAGATACTCCAGTGAGTTTCTCTTCATTTTACTGTCATTACTGCTGGTTCTATCAATTTCGAAGTTTCAATTATGGATTTAGGGTAGCTTGACTGTATTGCCTTGCTGTAAATCTTACCTTCTAACAGATTCCATCTTCAGGTCTAAAATGAGACTCCACTCTCTCATGTTGGTGAAGATAGGCTCAACATCTGAGGGGAAAGTATTTGGCCTACTGTTTATCATCTTCAGGTCCAAAATGAAACTCCACTCTTTCATGTTGGTGAAGATAGGCTTAATATCTGAGGGGAAAGTATTTGGCCTACTGTTTATAATCTTCAGGTCTAAAATGAAACTCCACTCTTTCATGTTGGTGAAGATAGGCTTAACATCTGAGGGGAAAGCATTTGGCCTACTGTTTATGATCTAACCAAGCTTCTGAACCATTTCCAACTAAAAGAGACGAGCAAAATCGTTTTTTAACAACAACAACAACAACAACAACAACAACCTTTTATCCCACTAGGTGGGGTCGGCTACATGGATTGCAAAACGCCATTGTGCTCTATCAAAAAACATCTCAAGGAGTTCCACAATATTTGAAATTCCAGTTATGGTAGCTTGACTGTATTGCCCTACGGTAAATCTTACTCCCTCTACTTCTATATATAAGAGGAAAACTGTATCACACAGTTTAAAAAAGTTGATTAACCACAATAATTATGTTTAAAAATAAAAAAAATAGACTAAAATGCCCTACATTAATCAACATAAACATATATTAATTATTTCTTGTTAATGTAAATTATAAGGAATAATTTAGAAAATGTATAATAAATGCTTATTGAAATAGGTGATTTTGCTTATATAAAAAAGCAAATAAAAAGTGGTAGTTTTTTTTTATAAATAAAAATGGAGGGAGTACCTTCTAACAGATTCCATCTTCAGGTCTAAAATGAAACTCCACTCTTCCATGTTGGTGACGATAGACTTAACATCTTGGGGGGGGGGGACATTTGGTCCACTGTTTATGATCTAATTATGATAGGATTTTTTTTTTCACAAAATTGTAAACTAAAGAGATACTCATAATTTGGCCAAAAAAGAGAGATACTCATACCGAGGCTAAATAGCACCTGGACAAAATTCATTATTGTTAAACACGTAGCTCTGTTCACATATGATAGATGTATAAGACTCACACTAGAAACGACATAACAATCTACAAGCAGATGGAAACTTCATTTTTTTTTTCGCTTCATTGTGTCCAAATATGATGTCCTGTTTTTGTCAGTATGTTTCCTTCCTAGATTGGCTTTCAAGCAAACCTTGAATATGTATTTGGACGATCTTAAAAATGACACCAGCTAACTCATTGGCATTGTTGACATTAGAGCTACACAAAGGACTCGGCAATATTGGACTTTAGCTTAACTTGAAATCTGATATCTTTTATGAAAAGAATTGGGTTAGGCAACCTATAGCTCAATCTGGTCCAATTGTAACCCGAAAATTAACAAGATCGAACTTGGTTCATAAGACTAAGAGACTAGTCCTAATAGTCCGGTACTCATTTAGCTTCCCCCCTTTATGTGAGAGGTGAAAATTCATTCCATCCTAACAAATTCAATTAAGATAATAAAAATACTTATAATCATAAAAAATCTATAACAATATATCTAACAACAACAACAACAAAAAATATTTCAATTACAATCTAAATGATTCAAATTCATAACTTTAACAACAGAGGCAGTAAAATTTAACAAACTTCAACAATATGTCTAATATACATTAGAAAAACAATTTAGCAGCAAATTAAATTAAAGTTATATTAAATATAGAATGGGAAAATGTGAATGAAGGAAATGCTGCGTTCAAACTTCAAACTGTTCAAATATGTTAAAAAAAATTAAAATTATATTAAAATAATTTCATAGGATAAGACCAGACCAAGTGTCTGAGAGCTTGGTCTCCTGTTGAGTCCAACCCAAGAAGCTAGTCTCTTTGGTCCGAAATTTTTTGACTAGACTGGACTGGATTGAACTTGTTCTGGTTGGAATGGGTTGGATAAGATAACCAGACTTTTGCATAGCCCTAGTCGGCATAAATTTCAAGAGTAGAGTAACTTTGCTGTAAATTTATAAATTAAAAAAAAATAAAACATACTATAGTTAATCTGTCTCTATACTGAGAAGCTTGAGGCAGAGACGTTGAGGTTCAGGGCAACTCCTCTCTATGGTAGAGGTCTATTAAACACATCGGCTGCAGCTCAAGTACACCTCAGCTCTACTCGACAATTATTTACATCCCTGAAAACATAACTTCTATAATGTTTTTTTGGGCTAACTAATTCGAATCAAGCCTTTACTGCTAAAGCCAATAATTTATGATTTACAATTACACCAAGTTAACACACTTGTTTGCAATTATTTTCTTTAAAATGTAAGATATAACAGATGATAACAAACTAAGGAAGAATGGTAAAAGATAAAAGAAGTAAGATTGATGATTCCACTTCATAAATGTGTTTAAAATAAATAAACAGTCTATAATGAAATCAAACCACAAATAAGCAATGTCATCAAGCAAGAAGTTCCTTCACTAATCGACATGCAAAAAAATTGTGCTAAACTTTTGAGCGAACATTACAAATATTTCATCTAAATATTCTGCGTCTAATTCTATTAAAAAGAGTAAAAGACAGACAAGCAGAGAAAGGTAAGGGATTGTACGAACCTCCCATTTTCTCCCCGAATTCTAACGCTGATGCAATCTTTGCCATATCCCTTCTCATCGCAAACTCCATAACCAAGTTTCTCAAACACTCCTCATCAAACCTCTGACGTAGTCTGAAACCTACTACAATCTGAAGAAACATCACCGCTTCGGCTGCACCGACAGCACCGTTTTCAGAACTACCATCCATCTGCCCTTTCCACGATTCGACCAAGTCAGCTGCTCTGGCAACAATTCTTCTGCAAAATTCTGGCAATTTGCCTCCAGAACTAGTCTCCGGAAACAATGCTTGAACCAGAATTCCACAAGCCCATCGCTTATCCGTGACCCCAGATTTCGCCGATTTGCAATTGAGAAACTCTTCCACGGCGTCCAAGACCAATCTTGGAGGATCCACCGCCTCCGCTATGGCCGGCACTATCTCGGCTCTCAAAGTCGCCGATTCCTTACGCTTGGATACGATGAACCTCAACAACGCTGAAGAATCCATTTTACGACACAAAGACTTCAGGGTTTCAGACAATTCAACGTTTGCTGAAATTGGTTTAGCGAAGTCGGCCAAAGCTGCTTCCTTTTGTTCTTCAATTCGCGCGGCCGCAGCGGACTCGCGTTCTGGAATAGAATTCTCGCGGTGATCGAGGGATTCGAGGGTCTTCTTTGCATGGGATTCCAGAGCCTCAACATTTGAATCTATCAATTGGGATTTCTGGGAGATTGAAGCTTCCAGGGACGAGAAATGTTTCGATAGGGTCGTAAACAGCTGGGTGCAAGTGGAGATAATAGACCTTTGTGCTTCGAGGTCGTCGAAGAATTTCTGGACTCTATTTGCGCTTGTTACAAGCTGAGTCACCATTGTTAGATCGATATTAGCGTTACAGTTGTCACATCTGGAGACGAAACCCTAAACCTTATACTTGGGACATTCCGTTGCAATTCCAAGGACCAACTGAGGAAGATGACGTTAAATGAATGAACTGCGGCGAAGTACCACTGTTATCACCTGAAATGAACATAAAGAAGAATGGAAAGAGAAGAATGATTTGCGAGAAAATGGTAATTTTACTCCATAAAATAACATTTGACAAAACTGAAAAAAAAAAAAAATGGAGAGGGCAAAGCTTGGTAACGTAGTTCCCTTGAATGGAATGAGAAAGACTCTCCTGGCCAAAATATCGTTGGAAGAATTAGTGAATTACATTATGGAGTACATTACATCTAAATAACATAATTAAATATCATAAGATTTATTGTAAAAATCTAAACGTGATTTTCTCAAATTTTTATTAGGATATATATAATGATTTTATAACTTAAATATGTTTATGTGCTCGCCTAGTCGATCTTCAATCTACCAACAATCATATGTTTCTTTAAAAAAAAAAAAAAAATTCCCTTTTCATGTTCCTATTGTTAGTCTAGTTTTATTAAATTAATGTGAGCCTCCGACAATGTATGTAATTTAGGGTTAAATGATAAAAATAATTTTAATTTTTTTTTCAAGAGTGCCTAACATTTTAAACTAATTTTTAAAATATTTTTATCTTAAAAGTTTTAAAAATAGAATATTTTTATCCTATCGTTAAAAATTTCAAATGTTGACAATTAAATTAACGGTTGATCAAGAATATTTTTGTATTTTTTCCTCTTTCCTCCTGTGTTTAGTCTTCAATTTTTTTTAATAAATTCTTTAACTTTTCTTTTCTAAAAGAATGAAAATGAAAACTGAAAAATGCAAGATACAAAGAAGGGTAAAATCATAAAATATCTTAACTAAATTTTAATTAACGGTCAACATTTAAGATTTTTAATGTTAGGGCAAAAATTCTTTATTTTTTAAACTTAAAAAAAATATTTTAAAAAAATTTAAGATGATAGGCATTTTTAAAGAAAAAGTTTGAAAGCATTTTTCTCCTTTAACACTGTAATCTAATAAACACCATGACACTTTATTCATAACTTATATAGAAAATAGAATGCGAATACCCTTTTACGAGTTGCAGACTGAAAATCGAATTTACAGAAACTGCCTGAAGGTCGTGATCCAATATTAGGTCGCTCTTGATATGGAAAAAACTGAAAAAAAAAAAAAGCATTTTTTCCATAACAGATCTAACATGTATTCTCTCTATTTAAAAATATAAGGTATTTTTTAAAAAATTAAATGTTAAAAAATATAAAGTATTTTTAATCTTTTGAGATATAATCATGATTTTTTTTTAAATGCTGATGAATTACTTGATATTTATTGTAGAATATTTAATAGAGGTAAATATAAAAAAATATGATTAATTTAAAAATAGATAACTACTTTATTAGATGGTAAGATTCAGTTAAAAATGACTTATATTTTTTAACGAAGGAAGTAACATATTTGTTATTAATTATTTTATTATCATTTTTTATCTGAAAACATAAGAGATATTTTCATTTATAAAATTATCTTTTGCTACTTTATATAGTTTATTTTATGTTGCATATTGAATGAGAGAAGATTTTGAAACTATTAAGAACAAATTAAAAGCTACAACTTAAAATAGTTTGTAAAATATTCTAGTCTCATTCGCTCTACACTGCTGACAAGTCTATCAACATGACTGTGTGTGCCTACATATATAATAAAAAAATTATTAGAAGAAACTGCATTATTCACAATCCCACCTCAAATTTGACCAGAAATTTGATCTCGCAGTCGGAATAATTTGCTAATTATAGTGATACAAACCATAACAATTTTTTAAACAAAGTGGGATACACCTTGGATGGATTTGGGGGGTAGTTTCTTGCAGATTCCTCAAACACAAGAGCGTTGTTCAATGACATGACAATGACTTCTGTAGCTTCCAGAAGCTATTTAATTGACTTTTGGTATGAAGCCGGATCAACTACTGTATGAATCAGCCTATATTAATATTCCTTTGTTTCAGACTCCACTTTCTTTTCTTTTTCTGGGCCACATTGATCAAACTTCTACCGGATTAGTGCTGTTCTTTTTCAGTTAAGGAACAAAGGAATACAAGTTCCAGGAAATTCAGCCCTAGAACTAAATTAATTTGTAGCAAAGTAGTTATATTAAGTAATAACAATTGCCCAGCAGTACTATAAAATGAGAACGAGATACAGCCATAATAAGTACTGGTATCGCCATGTTGTATCTAGGATGAGCAAAAATCAGACATGGTAGACACAGACTTCTTTGTGCTTTGGCTTACACTACAACTTTCTTTAAATGCAATCTGGAAGGATCGGCAAAGCGAGCAGAGAAAGATCTAGACAGATTGTCCGGTTCATCCAGCGCAGTGCCTTGATCGAAGTTCTGCGAGTAAGTGTGTGGATCATAGTAAGGGATTTGCAGGGGAGTTGCAGAAGACTGAAGCAGCCTCTTCCTCTCCCTCTTGAACTTCATCCACAGCATTCTCCACTTCATCTTGCCCGATCCATTACTACCCGACCCGAACCTTCCCAAGTGGATGCTTCTGCTGTCTGAACCACACCAGTTTCTGATATCCATGGCTGCAGCACCTCAACCTCAAGTCTCTTGCTTGGGATATAGATATGGCCAGTGAGAATACCAAACGGTTTGGATATTGGACTGAAGTGTATAAATTATTATACTGTCTTGCCCTTGTTATGTGGATCGCACTATGTTATCACGTGATAGGCTGCAGCATTTCACAGCCTATTTGCCATGTGGGAGTTGATGCCGTTTGAAATTTTGTTGATTAGATAAGCCTGCCTACCTATCTTGTAATTTTGGGACTGGGGGTGGAAAATTAATATCAATTATTAAGGAAGCTTAGATTCCATTTCCTTTTGGACTTTTCTACTAGCTAGCATTCAATATTCAACATTCTCTACTTCTTCTGATGAAGTAGTTATTTAGACCGAGTGATTTGCCTATCCTGGTTTGGTTTTGTTAATACCAGATTGAAACTGCTTTAAAGAATACGTAGAAGGCAAGCCAATTGTGTATGAAAATACCCAATGTTCACTTCAGTTGAATGGTAACTTACTTTTGCAGATTCTCTTTTTATCTCGGCTTGCAGAAAGAAAAGCGTGACATAAAGATTAGAAAAAGCAAAGCGCGTCTGAAAAGAATCAGCACCCAAGTAAGAAAAAAGAAGAAGGGACAGGAATATAATTCATAGTGTAAAAGCAAAGCAGGATTGAATATATCTGATGAGGAAAGAACAGTGAATAATTTAGTTGGCAATTAACATTTTACAAAGGAGAGAGAAATCAATTAGTGAAACAAGTAGGTGATAGCCAGGGCAACCAACATGAGAAGGTAAGCTACTCCTTGATCAGTGGTAGTGCCTACATCAGAACCAACAAATAGACAAAGGAATTGAAATGAGCATATAAATTTAGACAGAGAAAGTAAGGGGAATGAGATGAAATGAAAAGGAAGAGAATACTGACCGTGACTATTTGGAGGAGGAGCAGGGGAAGGAGAAGGAGGAAGATGGGGGAGAGAGAAGAGGATCAAAGTGAGAAATGGGAAGGGAAAAATTGGAGAAAGGGTCATTTTGGAAACACAGAAGAGAACAAGAGGGAGCATAGCAATGTGACCTTAGTTGAAGGGTTTTGTTTGAGCTGGAAGGGACGCGTCTTGCGTTTTCCACTCTGTATCCACACGATTTATCTGCTTAAGTACTCGGTGAATCTGATTTCTTCTCAGATTTCATGCGTCTTTGATTCAAGCTCAAGCTGACTCACATGCTCACATGGTATATTTCACCCAAGAACTGATTATAGGTTCCTTTTTTATTGTCAAATCAGAAGGAAGGCAGAACACGTGAGAGTAACTTGAATGGTCAAAGGAGCTATTAATTTTTCCAATGATGCATGCATTTGACTAAGTGACGATTCTGTATCAGTTCTTCCAAGGCCAGAGAAAAGTAGTTGTTATAAATGTTATTTAAAAAATATTTTGCATCTGAATTCACATCTTTAAAAGAAGGATGAGTAATTAAACATTGCCTTCTTTAATCTTTAGGTTCCCTCTTAAAAACACAATTGTTAACAGTTTTGCTATAGATTAACAAAAATATAAAGATCTAGAATATTGAATAAAAGTATAAGGATCTATAATAAAATTTGAGTAAAGTATAAAAATTTAAAGTTATATTTTTTCAATAATAAAATAATATAAATCTTACCAAAAAAAATGATATAACCGATTTTGTAAATAATAAATAATTCCTATCAATATAAATAAAAGTTTTGAAAATATGATTATTATAATACAATAAACACAACATTTTGTGGTACCTAGAACACTGAAAAACAAAAGTGTATGGACCTAAAGCAAAACTTAAATAAAGTATAGGGACTTAAGATTATGTTTTTCTCATAATAAACTAATATAAATCTCACCAAAAAAATGATATAACTGATTTTATAAATAATAAATAATTCCTATCAATATAAATAAAAGTTATGAAAATATGATTATTATAGTATAATAAACACAACATTTTTGCAGTACCTAGAACACTAAAAAATAAAAATATAGAGACTTATAACAAAATTTGAATAAAGTATAGAAATTCAAAATTATATTTTTTGGATAATGAACTGATATAAATCTTACTAAAAAAAGATATAACTGACTTTATAAATAATGAATAATTCCTACCAATATAACTAAAAGCTATGAAAATATGATTATTACACTACAATAAACACAGCATTTTGTAGGTGGGATGCAGACTACACATGGCAACAGCTAGCAGGTGCATTAAAAAAACAAATCAAATAGCATATTATTTATTTACTATATAAAATGGCAAAGAACATTGTCAGATGTTAACTTCGGGACCATCTACTGGTAATGCAAGAGCAATAATAACACAGTGGAGAGTAGACATAATTATGGAGATCAGCATGTTGATGGAAAAATTTCTTTTTTTTTAAATGAGATTACATAAAAAACTAAAAAGACCAAAAAAGATATTCTCATGCTTCTGCATGTAATTTCCATAAAGTAGCTGAAAAGATGACTCAAGGCTTTTGGATTGTGCTAACACCTTTGCTTCCCATACCCAGAGAGTCCAGCTTCTGATCTTCAATCACATCCGAATGGAAAGAGAGCTGACTTCATACTTGAGCCTGCGGAAAACAATCCCTACTTATGCTGCTTATATTAATGAAGTTAAAACATCGAGATTTCTCTAGCACTCATGGATTCTTCAGGTACGCATACATTATTTTATTTCTTTATATGAATTGAGATATACAGATTCAACACGTGGTATCAGAACCTTGGTAACGAATTTTAAATTTATATATCTCAATCCTTTTTTTTTCTTATGTATATTGATATATTGATAGAAATTCATACTCATATTGATAAATATTTTTTTTATCATCCATATCACTGAGAAAATGAGTATGAATATGAGTTTTTTTTTTTTTTTGGAAATTTTTGGTCTGTTTTGGCTCCGGCGTCGTCTCTTCTGGCTCACCAGTACCTGCGGGAAGGCTTCCAACCTACCGGATTCGAACCCATACTTTTTGGACCAGTACCTGAAACTGAAACTGGTTCTGGAAGCCGGCATCACCGCCGTTCATGGCATCACCGTCGTGTGTCTGCTTCGGCGTCGTCTGGAGCTGGCCGGCAATGGAGGTTCTGGAGTCGCCGGAGACAGGGACAGCGCCGTTTACCCCTGGCTCCCGGTGACAAATTTTTTTTGGTCCAATTGGAATGCAACTCGCCGACGACGTCCCCATATTCCTTTTTGGCTCCTTCTGGTATGCGCGTCGCTGCTGGGGAAGACGCTGCACAAGCCATGAAAATCCAGATCTTAAAAAAAAAGGGTTCTGGGCCCAGAAACGTATTAGCCCTATAAAAAAAATTTATTTTTGTTAATTGCGTTTCGGCCCCAGTTTTAATTACATTCTTTGGCCCAAAATTTATTGAATTTATGAATTATACCCATGATTTTTCTGGAAATTTCAGTGTAGTCCCTTAACTTTCAGAATTGCAATTTTGACCCAAATCTCTTCCAGAATTACTTATTTGCCCCTGATTACCTTTCAAAATTTCACTTAAGTCCTAGATTCGTTTCCTAATTCTCAAAAGACCCTAAGGACTTCTAAAATTATGTTGTTTTATCCTAAGGTCATAAAAATTTGTGACTTTATGAATTATTGATGATGTTTAGGATCTTGTAGCATGGATAATGGACATACTCCATAAGTGTGACATTATTAATGTGATTTTGATGGTTGGCTTTGAGGATAGACTAATAGCACTCCTTTAATGTGTTAGATATTTGTTGTACCCTATAGGTATAGAAATATTTAATACATTATTTTGTATGGACTTTTGTATGAGCTAAATTTTATGATATATGAGCCTTCTTGGTGCATGATTATAGTTGCCTAATTGATAATCGCTTGTTGAGAAATTCTGTTTTATAATTATGTTATGCACACATAATTAATATTTTCCATTTTCTGTTTTGCGATTTCAGTTTCTGCTTTTACGCAACTATCCTTTGTGAAGGCTCTCAATGGGACTAACTATGATGACTGGAAAGAATCCCTCAATATGTATCTGACCATTTCTGAGAAAGATTTAGCTCTGAGAGAGCCTAAGCCTGCGGATCTCTCTTTCGAGTCCAGTGCTTCTGAAATAGCCTTCCATAAACAATGGAGTGAGTCCAACCGGATCTGTCTAGCGATCATCAAGTACACAATTGAAAAGGAAATTAGGGACAGCATTCCTGAAAATGATACTGCAGTGGAGTACTTGAAAGCTATTAGTAACAAATACAAGAAGCTTGACAAGACTCAAAAGAACTACTATCTGTCACTTCTTGACAATACTCAATACGACGAAATTTCTATTGTCAGGGAGCACATTCTGAAGCTTGTTCATTACTATAACAAGCTTAAGTCATATGGGATTGATTTAGGTGAAAGTACCTTAGTTTACCGTGTTCTTCAATCATTGCCATCAGAGTACGCACTCTTGAGGACTTCATACAACTCACAAGAAGCTGAATGGTCTGTTGACTAGATGATATCGATAGTCACTCAAGAAGAGGAAGCTATAAAGAAGAATTCCTCTCACTCAATAAACTATGTTTCTCATGGCTCTAACAGCAAATCTGGAGGGTCATATAAGAAAAAGGGGAAGAAGCATGATGCACCAAAGTTTAATAATCCAACCTTTAAGAAGGATGGTGATAAGGGTGAGAAGTTGAGGAAGAAACCCTTTAAAGGGTTATGCAATTATTGCAAGAAACCGGGTCACATTAAAGCTAATTGCTTCAAATTGAAGAACAAACAAGAAAGTGAAGGTACAACTTTTCAAACTGCCCCTCTAGCTCTAGTTTGTTTTGAGTCTAACACTATTGAAACTTCCTTTGACTCATGGTGGCTGGATTCTGGTGCCACTATACATGTTGTAAATTCTCTACAGGAGCTAAGAAACCAGAAGGTTCCAAGTGAGGCACAGAGGTCAATCTTTGGCATAGCAGGGAGCAAGGCATCAATTGAATGCATTGGAACTGTTTCTTTATATTTAAATTCTGGTCATGTTTTACATTTGAACAATGTTGTTTATGTACCTTCTGCGAAGAGGAATTTAATTTCAACTTCTGCATTGAATATTTGTGGCTATTCATTCTTCCAAGGAAATGGGAAAATTGACATTTGTTTTGATTCCATTAATGTTGGTGTCGCTTCCTTGATATATGGTTTATATCGATTGAATGATTGGTCACTTGAACTTCCTAATCTTCATATCAATGCTGCTATTGGGCATAAACGTCAAAGGCCCAATGATAATTCCTCTATGTTATGGCATCGTCGTTTGGGTCATATCTCTAGAGAGAGATTGGAGCACATGATCAAACAAGGCGTCTTACGAGACCTTGATTTCTCAGATTTTGAGACTTGTGTTGACTGTATAAAGGGAAAATTCCCTGCTAGAGCTAGAACCAAAGGGGCAAAGAGGTCTGAAAACACTTTAGACCTAATCCATATTGATATTTGTGGACCTATCACGCCTCCGACTATGGGTGGTTTCAGATATTTCATCACCTTCACGGATGATTACTCTCGTCATGGATGGATTGAACTCTTGCGTGAAAAGGGCGAGTCCCTTAATGCATTCAAGACCTTTAAAGCAGCAGTCGAATTAAAATCTAGCAAGTTGATCAAGTGTGTGAGATCTGATAGAGGAGGAGAATTTTATGGGAGATATACTGAGACTGGCAGGAACCCTGAGCCATTTGCTTTGTACCTTCAAGAGCATGGCATTGAAGCTCAGTATACTATGCCTGGCACCCCGCAGCAAAATGGGGTTGCAGAAAGGCAAAATCGTACTCTCATGGATATGGTTAGGAGCGTGATCAGTCACTCCTCACTGCCAAAATTCTTGTGGGGTGATGCACTTAAAATTGCTGTTTATATTTTGAATCAAGTTCCTAGCAAGTCAGTTCCAAAGACTCCATATGAGTTGTATTTTGGAAGGACTCCTGCGCTGAAGCATATGCGAGTTTGGGGTTGTAAAGCATAGGTAAAACCTTACAATCCACAACAGATGAAGCTTGATGCTAAAATTGTTGATGGTTTCTTCTTTATTGGCTATTGCATCGGATCTCGTGGGTACAGATTCTATTGTCCAAATCACACTACTAGGGTAATTGAATCTGACCGAGCTTATTTCTTTGAAGATGCCTTAGATAGTGGGAGCTCTGTGCCTAGGCATATTACCTTGCATGATGAAAGTAGCATTTTGCCTATGCCTATCCTGACAACTCCTCATGTTGACAGAAATAATGCTGTGGATCAGAATGAAGCTCAAGATGAACCACCTTTAGAGGGTGATAGGGATATGGTTGTTGAACCGAGACGGTCCCAAAAGGTTCGCAGGTCTGCTATTCCAGATGATGACATGGTATATTTGCAGGAATTTGATTCAGATGCTATTGATAGCTTAGACCCAATATGTTACCAAGAGGCTATTTCTAGCTCGCATTCTTCTGAATGGTTGGAGGCTATGAGTGAAGAAATTGCCTCTATGTACCGCAATCACGTATGGGAGCTTGTAGAGCTACCAAAGGGGTTTAAACCAGTGGGTTGCAAGTGGGCCTTTAAAACAAAATGAGGAGCTAGAGGTGAAATTGATAGATATAAAGCCAGACTTGTAGCTAAAGGCTACAACCAGAAAGAAGGTATTGATTACACAGAAACCTTCTCTCCGGTATCCACCAAAGATGCTTTTAGAGTGGTAATGGCTTTAGTTGCACAGCTTGATCTTGATCTTCACCAGATGGATGTCAAGACTGCGTTCTTGAATGGCGATTTGTATGAAGAAGTCTACATGAAACAACCTGATGGTTTTATTGAATCTGGTAAAGAACATCTAGTGTGCAGATTAAAGAGATCTATCTATGGGCTAAAACAGGCCTCTAGGCAGTGGTATCTGAAATTTGATGAAGTTATCACCTCTCTCAGTTTTGTTGAGAATGTCTCAGATCAGTACATCTATCAAAAATTTGATGGGAACAATTTTGCCATTCTTGTTCTCTATGTTGATGATATCTTATTAGCCAGCAATTCAATAAATTTCCTCAATGAGATAAAGCACCTATTGTCTTGCCATTTTGACATGAAGGACATGGTTGAAGCCTCTTTTGTTCTTGGGATACAAATTCATCGTGATAGATCTCGTGGTATTCTTGGTTTATCACAAGCCACTTATATTGAGCGGGTACTTAAGAGATTCAAAATGGATTCATGTTCTCCTTCACCTGCTCCTGTACAAAAAGGTGAGCTGTTGTCAAAGTTACAGTATCCCAAGGATGATAAGAAGAGGGCTGAAATGAGAAAGATACCATACGCTTCCGCTGTCGGCAGCCTTATGTATGTTCAAGTGTGTACTCGACCAGATATAGCCTTTGCCATTGGAGTGCTGGGTCGATACTTAAATGATCCAGGTTTGGATCATTGGAAGGCTGCTAAGAAAGTTATGAGATATCTTCAAGGTACAAAGGATCATATGTTGACTTACAGAAGGTCAAATTCTCTTGAGGTTGTTGGGTATTCTGATTATGACTTTAAGGGATCAGAAGATCTTGAGATTGTTGGCTTTTCAGATTCAGATTTTGCCTCTTGTCTGGATGATCGTAAATCCACGACTGGCTATATTTTCATGTTGTCTGGAGGAGCTGTCTCTTGGAAGAGTGTGAAACAGACACTTACGGCAGTTTCATCTATGGAAGTTGAGTACATTGCTTGCTTTGAGACTACACGTCATGCTATATGGCTGAGGAAGTTGATATCTGGCATGCACCTAGTTGAGTCAATATCACGTCCTCTAACCATTTATTGTGATAACAAATCTGCAGTATACTATGCTAATAATCACAGAAATTCCAGTCGTACAAAGCATTTTGATATCAAACTTATGTTTGTGAAAGAGAAAATTGCTGAGTCTCAAACCCGTGTGGTACACATTCCTGACACGCAGATGCTTGCAGATCCGCTGACTAAGGGCTTACCTGTAGAAGTTTTTCAAAATTATGTAACTTGTATGGGTATTGTGAATTCCTTTGATGCCCTAGTTTAGTGGGAGTTTGAGAACCTTTTATGTTACAATTTCTCTTTAGGCGTTGTTTTTCTTCTGTGAGTTATGTTCAGTTCAGTTAGATGCGTCTATATCATTTGTATCCCTATAGGATTCAATGATTCTATTGTGGTACGCTATGCATGTCACTTATTTCCCCATAGGAATAAGTGATTTATGTTGTTATCTTACTGAGCTGTGTTTGAAATAAAATTTCATGATTTACTCAGATTATGAGATATCATAATCACTTGTTTTCTCATAGGATTCAGTGATTTTGTGGAGTTTTATTTTCTGAATTTTGTTTGTGGCTTGTTTATACAACTTGCTTAATTAATGCAATCTAAGTGGGAGATTGTTGGAATATTATTTATGAATTAGCATTAATTAATAAGCTCAATAAATTGGTCCTTATGATCTTGTGTGGACCGTGATAGGTGGACCACACAAGTGAGCCCAATGGGCAGAGACCTAACCCACAACCCAGTAGCCGTCAGTTATTTCCTATCTCTTAACTGACTGAGTCAGAGATAATAGATAATATAATTATTTAATTATTTAATAAGGCGGTTATTGATTTGATCTATATAAGACGATTAGTTGGTAACCGCAAACACACAACTCATTTTCTTCTACTTCCATTATCTCTGAACTTTCTGAAGGCTCTGGGGATCTGTGGGTTGTGTACCTGCCTATACTCGAGGTAATCGAGATTTCTCTAGCACTCATGGATTCTTCAGGTACGCATACATTATTTTATTTCTTTATATGAATTGAGATATACAGATTCAACAGCTCATACAAACAGAGGGGCCAGCCGGAAAATGAGTAAGAGGTGCAGTGATCACTCCCCAGGACTAGTATCACCATGTTTTCCTTAGGATGAGTAGAAACCAGACGTGGTAGACACAAACAATTTCCTGAGCTTTGGCTCACACTGCAGTGCAATGCCTTGATCCATGTTCTGACTTCAGAGAGTATGTGTGTGGAATATGCAGAGCAGGTGTAAAAGTAAAACAATGAAAATCCTTGAATTTGAGATAATGGAATTGGATCCCATGTACAGTCTTATCTTCCATTTCCAAGTTCTCTTTTTATTGGTCTTGGTTTATACGTCTCAGATGACCGACTAATGAATAGTTAGTTAAAGAATTTTTAGAATTGATTGTCTAAATTATAAGTGTCAAGATCTAAATAACTGAGACATGCATTTTTAGGGACACAAGGCATAAATTCTGGATATTTCATTATGGTTTGGAATATTTTCTTGACCAACTTCCCTGCTTTGAAAGCTAGACATTCTCGAATTCGAGACACGTTAAAGGAATCTGTACTTTGTAAATATCAGCAAAGAAAAACTGGTTCTGAAAATGACCGTGAGAGATGCGATAGCTTCATTATAGGCATGGTAAAAGAAGTAAGCAGAGCTTTGGTGAGGCATCTGACTCGGAAAAAGGCCCCATGTATGAAGAGAATCTGACGAGGCAATCCATCTTTCGCATCAATCTGACATTTCTTTGTCCTTATTGTCTTTTTTTTTTTTTGGGATGGGGGGGTGGGTTTCCCGAGCATATCTCTCACTCTTGAAACAACCCTCCGAAAATGAAAATGAAGACCCTGCTATTTATTTACTGTAAGAAACTAGTAAAGTTAAACATGGTTCCTATCTCAGGCCTGATCGAACCATCACTGGCCAAGGACATGCCACGTTCAAAAATGTTGGGTCTTAGAAGCCACAAAATACTCCCACGTGGCATATCTGCGATACAGATGGCTCCCAAAATGCGATGATTCAACCTGGTAGGGACCACACCAGCTTCCAAATTCCGGTTTGAAGCTGGGCTTTGGCTTACCCTTCACACACAGCTCCTCAACCTCACGAAAGAGGAATGAAAAAAACTCCTCT